ATGCTAAAGTCTGTCCGGATTATTCTAACGATTGCTGCATATTACGATTATGAAATATGGAAAATGGATGTCAAAACTGCCTTCCTAAATGGGATTTTGGTAGAAACTGTGTACATGACACAGCTAGAAGGTTTTTTTTCGATCCGAGCAACGCTGGAAAGGTTTGCAAGCTTAAGAAGTCCATTTATGGACTAAAGCAAGCCAGAAGGAGTTGGAATCTGCGATTTGATGAAGCCATCAGCAAGTTTGGTTTAATCAAGAATCTAGATGAGTCTTCTGTACACAAGAAGGTCAGTGGGAGTGACATCGCATTCCTAGTCCTATATGTCGATGGCACACTGCTCATTGGAAACAGCACAAAATTACTGGGTCTATAAAGCGCTGGTTGGGAATGTGCTTTTCAATGAAGGAATTAGGAGAGGCACAATACATATTGTGCATCGAGATCTACAGGGATAGATCTAAGAGGATGATTGGATTGAGCCTAAGTACTTACATTGATAAAGTACTGGCATGATTCAACGTGGAGAATGCCAAGAGAGGGCATCTACCCATGTCTCATGGCGTAACTCTCAGCAAGAAAAAGTGTCCACAAACACTTGTTGAGCGAGAGAGAATGGATCAGATTCCATATGTTTCGCTAATTGGGTCGATCATGTATCCCATGATATGTACCAGGCCAGATGTATCGTATGCCTTGAGTGCTACGAGCCGATACCAATCAAACCCAGGAGAGGCGCATTAGACTGCGGCCAAGAATATCCTGAAGTACCTGAAAAGGAACAAGGATAAATTCCTGGTTTATGGTCGCCATAAAGATCTGGTTGTTGAAGGTTACACCGACGCTAGCATCTAGACTGAAAGAGACGACTTCAAGTCACAGTTAGGATACATATTCTGTCTGAATGGAGGAGCGTTTAGCTGGAAAAGTGCCAAGCAGAGCACAACTGCAGACTCTACAACTGAAGCCAAATACTTGGCTGCTTCCGAAGCTGCTAAGGAGACTGTTTGGATTTGCAAGTTCATCGGTGAACTTGGTGTTGTACCCTCCATGAAGGGTCCGATAGATCTCTACTGTGACAACAATGGAGCTATCGCTTAGGCTAGAGAGCCAAGAGAGCACCAAAAGGTCAAAAATGTCCAAAGGCGATTTCACATGATAAGGGAATGGAAATCCGAAGGTGAAATCAGAATTTGCAAGATCGGCACGGATGATAATGTGGCCGATCCTTTGACTAAACCTTTGCCTCAAGTGAAACACAACAAACACATTGAGGCAATGGGAATCAAGCACATCGGAGACATGCTTTGAAATTCCCATTACATGTGTTTTAATTAAACTAGATGTTTTAATGTAAGACACTGTATTGAAACCATTCATTAATGGAGTAATTAATTTTTCTGCAAAATTATCATTCACTCCATTGCTATTTAATTATGGTTTAGAATTAAATAATGAGTCCATTTGATTTATGGAAATATTCAAAACAGGGTATCAAGACCATGTCTTGGATAAAGAAACACCTGTTAAGTGAACATTGAATATTTAAATCGAAAATTATCCCTAATCGAGGTCATCTAAATGATGGACGATTGATGACCACCAGAGATTAGTGTTTAGTATGATTTACAGCACCGTTTCTTGTGCTACAAGGAGATGATGGTCATAGATCATTTGCACAAGTGCCAATTTGGAACTGCACTGGATTGACCTATGAGAGTACTTTAAGAGATTCAAAATTGTCATAAGTACACTTCTCATTATAGCTATCGGAACTCGTTTCCTCGACCATGAGCATTATGAAGTTTTCTTGTTTGAGTACTAGTCTCTTTGATGTTGCCTAACGTCTGCCGTAACTGGGGATCATAACGGGATCACTCAAGAGATTAGGTCCTCTTAGTAAGAGAAGCTTACAATGCAAGACTGGAATGTCCCCTATTAACAATAGGGAACATGTCTTTGTTGTTTATAAGGCCGCTCGAAGAGTGAGACTGTGAAAATGCATGGCCGTGCTCAAATGGATTTTAGAAATCATCTGCTTATTGAAAGTCGAACTCGGAGATCGAGAAACACTTCTGACTGTAATAAGGATGACGATGAATCTTACCTTATAGTTCACGAAGAGACATTAAGTGACATAGGAAATGGGCTATACACTGTATGCACACTTGTCCGGAAGGACAAGTGGGAGATTGAAAGGAATGGTGTCCTTCCAACAAATGTATTATTCTAATAGAGGGTTCAGAATTATTACAGAGCTAATTCTTTAGTAAGGTCAAGTGATCGGAATTCCTAGGTGGAGGTCGCTTCCGATTAGTAATATTAAGGTATAATTAATATTACAGCTTACTCTTAACTAAACCGTTCGGGTCGAACCCAATCGAACAAACCAATCCGAGAGGATGAATTAATCCGAAGGATTTAATGAGTCGTCGGAGTTTTACGAACATAGACGTCGGATATCGAGCCTAGAGCGTCGAGGCCAGGCGTCGCAAAATCACAAGCAACAAGTATGAGAATAACCGTAGCTAGGCTAGGCTAGCTCATTTGAAGCATAGGCGCACCATGGTGTGCTAGGCGCGCCATGCGTGCTAGGCGCACTAGGCTGCCTATCGTAGCACCACCTGCGTGTGTGCGTGCCTTCGCATGGCACAGTAGCACAACAGCTTGCGTGCATGGGTGCCTAGGCACTATCTCAGCACCATCGCACCATCGCAGTGCTGGGCACTTGCGTTTGTGCGTGTGCGTGTGTTCCTAGAGCCATTGCCAAGCATCAAGCCATCTAGCATGCGTGGCTCGCTAGCAGCAAGCATGCTGGGCCTTGCGTGTGTGTCTCGCACCATCGCAGCAGCATACGGGCTGGCTTGCGTGCTGGCCTTCGCATGGCAGCACCAAGCAGCCCGCTGTACATGTGCGTGGCCTAGGCCTAGCAACCCAGTAGCACTACGCACCAAGCCAGCAAGGCTATGCATGTGTGTGCGATAGCCAGGCAGCAGCACCCATCGCCCAGCACAAGGCGTGGCTCGGTAGCAGCACGCAAGTGCTGGGAGGGCTGGGAGATGCGTGCTGTGCTGTGCGTGCAAGATGCCTGCACAGCCATTGCTTGAGGCGGTTTGAGGTGAGTGGGGACCAAAGGCTTAGAGCATGCCTTGGGGAGCAAGGCAATGATCCCCCTAAGGTTCATGGTCCTCACCTAACTCTCTCTCTCTCCCCTTGACACTTGTTGCATTGTGATTGATTTGATCATTAATTTAATTTGGAATTAAATAATTATCAAAATTATTCATTCTCCCACATTGGTTGGGAAATGAAAATCAAGGGTTCATTTCCCTATAAATACCAAGGCATGGGTATTTTGGAAAGGACGCTTGAGTACAATTGAAAAGGCAACTCTTGATTTGAGTAAACCTTGAATTCGGAAAACACTTAGTTTATTTTATTTGGGCCTCGACTAACCTTCGAGGCTTAGGACGCTCGGGTCGGGTTCGAGGGTACGATCCCGTCGGAGGCCTCGTATTTTCGGGGTTGAAGTAAGAGCTCCTCGGTGAGCGAAGCACGCGTCAAAGGTATAATCTTTTATCCTTTCTAATGTTTAATTATGTTTTGCTTGTTAATTGCATTTATTATGGGGGCGGGTCTTGGCGGGTTTCATTCCGCGTAGTGTGGGTCACTATGAAACCCTACAGGTATGTCATGTAAGAATTGTTCACAAACGTGCCTAACCTCAAGTTTTCAAATAAAAACCATGCATCTTCATCAATACCGAGGGTGGTAGTTGCCTCACGGCAATAGTGTTTTGTAGGTTAAAGCTTTCTAGTTTGTAAATTCTCATGGATTGGTTTGTGATTTTTGTTGTGGAATTCTAAGGTGGTTAAAGGAAGAGGTTGGGGCTCATCAGTTTGAGGATTTGAAGCTTGAGGTTCCTTTCCACTTTTCCTTTTTTTAGACACCATTATCATAGCACCAACAATTTAACAATAATTCACCAATCCAAGCAAATCACCCAATCAAACTTCACACTATTACTGAAGGTAACAAATTCACCTACAACATAACTTCAAATATCACCAAACAAACAACAATTAACAACAAACATCCAAAAATTCAACCAAAAATTCCAAAAATTTCAGCTAATTAAGAGCCAAGCATCACAATTTCATCCCAAAAATTTATCATGTATAACCACAAAAAATAATGCTAAAAAATGAACTAAAACAAGAGATGAAGTGATTATACAAACATTAGATGACCATAAACACCTTCAATCTAGCCCAAGAACAATTTCTCCAAACTTGCTTCAAAAACCTTTGATGGAGAACCGTAAGAATTTCAAACCAATAATTTTGGTGTGGAAGTGAAAAATGTGATGAATTTGATGGTGGTTGAAGGATTTTTGCAGAGATTTGAGTGGGAAATGGTTGGGATTTGAGGGATTTGTGGAGTTAGGTTTGAGGATGTTAGGGTTTTTAGAGAGAGAAAGGGGGAGAGTGTCGAATGGGAGAAGATGAAATGTGACCTAATGAACGCGCTTGCGGTGATCTGAGACGCGCCCGTGACAACAGATGACGCGCCTTCTCCCAGGGCGCGGTGTGCCTTCTCCAGTTTCATTTGAGTTTGATGAAATTTTGGGGACCACGCCCTCTATTCTCTTGATCGCGCCCACGGTGACTTGGAGAGGGCTATCCTTGGGCACGTTCCTTGAATTGAGCTTTGAAGCTCATTTTTCACCTCTTTCTTCTATTGAACACCAATATTAGATTTGAAATTCATTCCTCTTGAGCTTAGAACTCCTCCAATTCTTCACCTATAAGCTCAATATTGAAAATTCAAAATCCTACAGAAAACACACAAGAAAAATAAAAGAAACATAAGATAAGAACTAAGAGAAAGGCAACAAAATTCAATAAAATAAGAAGAAATAAAAGAAAGAAAGGAAAAAAATCTCGGGTTTCCTCATGGAAGCGCTTCGTTATGAGGTCACTAGCTTGTCCATAAGATGTTATCTTGAAGGGGGTGGCTTGGAATCCATTGGATCAAGCCTAATGCACTCAATAAAATAAACTTCATTCTTGCACAAATAATATTTCAAGCGATGACCATTCACCATGAACCTATGATCACCCGCCTCTAACTCAAATGAGCCATAAGGAGTAGTCTTTGAGATTACAAAAGGACCTGACCATTTGGACTTTAGCTTTCCGAGAAACAAGAGAAGTCTAGAATTGAATAAAAACACCTTGTCTTCAACTTTGAAGCTTTTGTTCCTTATGTGTTGGTCATCCCACTTCTTAGTCTTCTCCTTGTAGAGTTTTGAGTCCTCATAGGCATCATATCTAAGTTCTTCCAATTTATTGAGCTTTAGCAATCTCTTCTCTCCAGCTAATGAAAAATCCATATTGAGCTCTTTCATAGCCCACCAAGCCTTGTGCTCCAACTCAACCGGCAAATGGCAAGCTTTACCATACACCAAACGAGAGAGAGTTGTGCCAATGGGGGTTTTGTATGCCGTTCTCAAGGCCCATAATGTGTCATCAAGCTTAAGTGACCAATCCTTTCTTGACTTGTTCACCATTCTCTCAAGAAGATTTTTGATCTCTCTATTAGAAACTTCCACTTGCCCTTTGTGTTTGAGGGTAATAGGACAAACCAACCTTATTATGGACTCCATACTTCTTGAGAAGAGCTTCAAGTACTTCTTGGCAAAGTGAGAACCACCATCACTAATTAGAACCTTGGGACCCCAAACCTTGGAAAAATAATCTTCTTGAGAAGCTTGAGCACAACCTTGTGATCGTTGGTGGGGTAAGGGATAGCTTTAATCCACTCAGTCTCATAATAAACCGCCACCAAAATGTACAAGTTTCCACAAGAAGAAACAAAACGCCCCAGAAAATCCACACCCCATACATCAAAAGGCTCAACTTCCAAGATGTTTTGTTGAGGCATTTCGTCCCTCTTGGTGATTCCACCACTCCTTTGGCACCTATCACATCTAGAAATGAACTTATGAGAATTGAGAGACTTTTGGCCACCATAAGAGAGACTTAGAGATTTTTGCCACTGTCTTGTCAACTCCACCATGTCCACCACATGGTAATGAATGGCAATGTTCAAGAACTCTTTCAATTTCATGATCTGGAACACATTTCCGAAAAAGACCATCTCCACATTGTTTGAACAAGTAAAGATCATTCCAAAAGTGTCTCCTCACTTCCTTGAAGAATTTCTTCTTTTGTTAAGAGGAAAATTCCGGGGGAATGACTCCACATGTAAGATAGTTGGCAATGTATGCATACCAAAGGCTAGATGTTGAAGCTATAGCCATAAGAGTCTCAATTCCCATCTCCTCATTGATGGGTACTTCTTCCTTGTTTTCAAAAGGGAGCCTAGATAAGTGATCCGCCACATAATTTTCCGCTCCTTTCTTATCCCTCATCTCCATATCAAAGTCTTGAAGCAAAAGAACCCAACAGATGAGGCGTAGTTTTGCATACTTCTTGGATAACGAACAGCTACATGATCCGTGTACACAATGACTTTACAGCAAATTAAACAAGATAGGACCTAAACTTGTCCATAGCAAACACAACCACTAGCATCTTTTTTTTCCGTTGTTATATAATTCTTTTGAGCTTCATCAAGAGTCCTACTTGCATAATAGATGACATAGGATTTTCCTTCTTTTCTTTGTCCAAGGATCACACCCACTGCAAAATCACTAGCATCATAGATTAGTTCAAAAGGCAAGCTCCAATCCAGAGCTTGCACAATGGGAGAGGAGATAAGAGCTTCCTTGAGCTTATGAAATGCTCCAAGGAAAGCATCATTAAAGCAAAAATCAACATCTTTGTTAAGCAATTTGGTCAAAGGTTTGGTGATTGTTGAAAAATCTTTGATAAATCTTCGGTAAAAACCGGCATGCCCAAGGAAAGCTCTTACTCCCGTGATGGAAATAGGAGGGGGAAACATAGAAATCACCGAAACTTTGACCAGATCTACTTTAATGCCGTTCTTGGACACCTTATGGCCTAGGCCAATGCCCTCCTAGACCAAAAAATGACACTTTTCCCAATTCAAGACCAAACTCGTCTCTTGACACCTTTTCAAGGTTGCAAAGACAAGTGTCAAAAGATGAGCCACCTACACTAAATTCATCCATAAAAACCTCAATTTCATTTTGAAGCATTTCGGAAAAGATAGAGGTCATGCATCTTTGAAATGTCACTAGTACATAATTGAGTTTATGTAACACATTTTTGGTAACACTTTTTGAAATGCAAAATTATAGATTTATAAGTAACACTTTGGTAACAATTTTATATAAGGTAACACTTAAAATAACACTTTTAACGTAGATAACACTATAAAGTAACACTTTTAAAATAAGTAACATTTAATGGTAACACTTATTTATTTATTTATTTATTCAGTTTCTCCACGGTTTTCTTGAATTAACCCGCTTTTCATTCACTCTTAAAAAAACAAAAAAGACTACAACCTCTTTTTTCATTCATTCTTTTTCTTCTTTTTCCTCTGTCAATTTAGCTGATGGTTCGAACTTTGAAGGAAGATAATCAAGGGAATCTACAACTTAACAATGGTGGTCGAATTACCTATCCTCTCCCCTTTTTCCCTCTCTTATCGAACTCTTCAATTTCTAGGGTTCTTCATTTTGAACGCTAATTCTATCCTCAGTTTGTCTCTTTGACAGTTTAGGGTTCCTCGCAATTTGGAAATTCTGCTCCCATCTACTGACGCACCGCTGCAATGCTGCATCACTGAATCGCTGCAACGTTGCAGTAATGGTGGTCTGTGGTGGCGGCGGTAACGTAGATGCGGTAATGATGGTGCTTATAGAGGTTTGTTCTCTTTCTTCTGTTCTTTTTGGGATATTTGTAATTTTTACTTGGATTTTTAATTGTTGATAGATTTTGACGAATTTTATTGTTTGATGGTGAATTTGTGATTACTAATTGGAGTTGTAGTTGTACTTTGGAGTAACTAAAAATTCAAAGTAAAATTTATACTTTGTGCTAAATTCAGTTTGATTTGCATTCCAAGCTAATTAGATTTAATAAGCTAATTAAAGAGCTGAAAAGTCTTACTAGTTTCATTTTATTAACTTTTAGCTCCTATTTAATTTTGTTACTAGGTTTGATTAGAAATGCAATTCTGGCACTTTAAATCCTGTCACCTAACTAGAATGATTAGAAACTGCTCAAGCTGTAGTATTTAGATTGAGAGGTACTTGTATTATATTTCTCGAATCGAACTAGATTGGGTACTACAATAAAATTGTATATGTTTTTGTTGATAACCAACGTAGATTGGCATAATATTAAATTGAATTACTTGTGTGTCATATAGATATTAAAGCCGATGACATGAAGGATTGGACTTATAGTCTGTCCATTATTTTCCAGAATGAGAAGTAATTGTATGGACACCGTTTCCTCAAAGCTTAGGTAGGAGATTAGAGAGTGATGAAGCCATTAGGTTGGTGGTTGATGTTGGTGGGTTCATTGCGTTTAGCTTCTGTTTGGTTCGACTTCTTTGATTTTTGGGTTCTTCGTCTTGTTGTTTTCTCACAGTCTAACAATAAGCTTTTCTTTTCTTTTTGCTAATTACAGACTTTTAATTTTAATGCGTTTTTTCATTTTTCTTCTCGATTTCCATGGGTTCTGTTTGATTAATTTTATAATTCTGTGATAGAAATGCAGATCATTTTTAGAGCTAATCATTTTGGAGATCTGAACCCATTTATTTTTTTAATTTTCTACCGTGATGGACTAGAACTAGAATGTTTAAAGCGTTGAAATTCATGGTGCTGATGGTTGGAAAATTGCCACTACACTCATGGCAGTTACATTAGTGGATGTAAGCTATGTAAAACAATAATTGCAAGCTTGTTTTGCTTCACATTTTTATATGAAACTTTAGGATTAGTCCCGCTAGTAGGCTCGCTAACTCTTAAGCTTCATGAATATTTTCTACAATATTCTATATATGATTCATTCTGAAAGTTTTATGCTCTGATCCTCCACAATTCCCTAATAAATGTCAATTGAAGGTGGATTTATCGTTAAAAGCATCCAATTTATTAGGAAAGTATTTTTCCTTGCAGAGAACGAAAGTGGCATTTGATGCCAAATCAATATCATGTTATAGCCCCTTAGATAAGAAGTGATTGCATATGTTGCCGAGTTCTCTTGATAGATATTTCATGTTTTTAGGCTCTAACGTAGAAAATGAGATGATTGGCTTATGTGCTCCTCTGTGCATAAATACTTGAGATGATGCTTCTCACAAGAAATTAGAACTAGTCTTCTGAAATTATTTATAAGAATACTAGATATCTGTGGGAATCACCCTACCCTCTTTCTTAATTATACATCATACAAATTGATGTATGCTTTTCTAAATAGCCAATGTTGTTAAAGGGAGAGCTTTTTAGTTTTATTAAAAATTTGAACACTTATGCTACTGTGGAATGTTAAAACAAGTTTCTATCATCAGTTGGTGATAATTTCAATGCTCTTTACTTTTCAGATGTCAATTTTATTACAATTTAAGACTTCTTAGGAGCAGCTACAGCAGCCACAACTTCCTGCTAGTTGTAGTGATGACTTTGTTGTTAACAACCACAACTCTTCTTCCTACCCGGTAGGAATGGTGAGGTAAGCCCATTTAATACTGCTATGGTAGATGTTGCTACTGCCATTTTTCTCATTTTTTACTTGAATTTACTATTGATTGACCTAGTCACTCCTCATTAACCTAGTAACTCAAGCTGCGTGATTGATTTTTCTGAAAGAATATATCTAATATCAAGAATTGCTAATTCTGTCCACATCAATATAAAGTTCTTCAAGACCTGGCCGTTCCTTCAAGAAATTGAAATAATGAAAGGCAAGAGAGAATTGACAATCTGCCAGTCATGGATCAATACTCTTATGTTTATTTTCTTTTACTGTCTTTCAATAATGTAGGAGTAGTGGACTTGGATTGTTTTAGATGAGATACAACATGCTATAAAGCACTTTTATTTCATGTGATAGATTAGCCTCAATGTCTTCCTTAATTTTAATAAAGCGAGAATATTGACAAATGTTAGTTTCTATTTTTACAGTCTTGTTACTACTGTCTGCTGCTATCACTGCTCTTACTAATGCCTACTGCTAGCACTGCTATCTACTGGCCTGATACTACTGTATGATGTTATTGCTACCTGCTGCTATCTGTTGTTACTATGTTTACTAATGCCTACTGCTGTCTACTGGCCTGGTACTACTGTCTGCTGGCCTAGTACTATTGTCTGCTGGCCTGTAGTTGCTGCTATTTGCGTGTTGTTACTACTAGCTACTGCTATTGCTGCTGTCTCTTTGCTACTGTGCTGACTTATGTTGCCTTTAGAGACGAAGTTGATTTTCTTTTTGCTTTGATTATTAGATTGTTTAGTAAAACAAACAAATTGGTGTTTATGGATTATTTTAAAAAAAAAATTATGAAATTGTATCAATTCAAATTTTGGTCTATCGTATATTTTAGTTTCATATTCTTGGTTGTTGTACA